TCAAACATATTCTCGTTTCTTGATATTTAGTTTTAGATATGTATGAACAGTCTGAATTATTCGTAAATAGATTTTTTTTAAAAATAATTCTTGTTAAAGTTGTTAAAATTGCGTAATATGTAAATTACACGTAAGTTCAAAATTAAAGCATCCAGTGAAATGAGAAAATATGTATTATTACTAAAGTATTCGTTGCACTTCCTGTTTCTAACAATGTCATTTTAAGCAATATGCATAATCACATAAACAATATGCATTACCCATAAACATTTTAAAAACATTTCTAGTTGTAGTTATTAAATTTATGTAATATATTCCAAACAAACTATGTAATAGCGGAAATAAAGGAAGTGTAAATTGAACTTGACCTTCTTCCTTATTTAAAGAGGAAATGCAAAACACATCCTATTCTTGTAATGAAAGATATTATGATTCCAAAACCGTATTTCATAAAATATTTTTTAAATGTTTCGTTTACTGCAAGCCGCTGACTCGTTTTAAATTGAAATATTTTAAACGTATATTTAGTTATAGTAAGTATGCTAGTCTTTAGAATATATTATATATTTATGTTTTAGAATTTGAAATTATTATTTTTTCACTAAGACATTTGGATTTAATGAATTTCCTATTTAAAAAAAATTTAAATTAGGTTTCTTTAAGAAAGCATATTGTCACACTGGATATTATAGTTAAAAGATTGAATATTGCAGTTAATTCTTTAAAAACTGCCCTCAACATTTATTTTTAGAGTGCTAGTCAAAGTTGGGAGCTTCACTATTGAGAGCTTCAGTGAAAACTTCCAGATCAAATTACGGTATGAAGTACCGGAACTATGGGTGAAAATCCAATTTTTTTAAAAAAAATTTAACTATAATATTTACATTACTATTTATTTAATTGGTGTGATTCAGTGATTTTAATGCTGATTTTATTACTGTAAAAATTACACAATGTCATATTTTTTGTTCCGCGACATGTTCCGGTAAAAATGGATTTAACGGTAAAGTACCGGCATGGATTTTAAGTACCGGTACGGATTTTAAGTACCGACGCCATAAATGGCTATATTTTTTACCGCAATTTGATCCGGAATTTTTGACAGTGTTGTCTTTCAATCTGCTCAAAATAAATTTTACTTGAATATAAGTAATTTCTTCTAATAGTGCAGTTAATTTATTATATTGCAATTTTAAACATTTTTGCATTCTAAAACTTGAGGAACTATCAAGTGCAAATTTTAAATGTGCGTATTTTACTGCCGCTCTACACATTAATGTTGGAATTTTTGTTGCAGATATACACCAGCGCTTCTGCTACTGGAGACGAAGCTAAGCATTTAAGCAAAGAACTAATAAAAATCAAAAAATGGCCAAACATTCACTCGAAAATCCAGAATAAAATATTAGCACCTATTTGATTGATGAAGAAAATTGAAAGACTTCTATCAAAAATTTTGATATTCTTATTTTTGCTTTCTCCAATGTTTGATTTTCGATTTTTGAAGTTTTTTTTTTTTTTTTTTTTACTGAAATATTAGTTTGCGACCCTTGTTTGTACTGTTATTTTGATAAGTTTTGTCAAATATTATATTAAGAGCCGTGATTGTAAAACATATCGTAACTTAAAATAACTTACAAAAATGAAGAAACAGCATTGAGCAATATTTATTGTATGCAATTAAAGAAATAAATCTGTTTTTTTACAACTAATGAGGAAAAAACCATTATCTTAAAAAATCTTTAGGTTGCTCAAGTTGGTTTCAGAGTTAGAAGAAATGCACTAAAGCATGAAGATTTATTACTATTATTATATCTATTGCGTTAAAAAAATTTATTACTATCTAAAATTTTAATTGGTTGTTCTACTATAAAAAAACGAGTTTCATAAGACTTATTTAGAGGACAAAATGTTTTATTTGGTAAAGAATTCCTAATCTATTAGGAAAAAATACAATTAAGCAATTTTTTGCAAAACATTTGCATAATTGCTTTTTTGTCTAAAAAATAAAGTATGCACACAGATTAATGGCTCAATCGAGTATTTATTCATAAAATTACTTTTAACAGTGGGAATGCTAAAATAAGTACAAAAATGTTGAAAAATTTGTTTAATTATTTTTAGAAATTATTTTTGATTAAAACCGAAATGTGTTAAGAATTTTACTTTCAATGTATTAAATACTACAAGCTTCTGAGAATTCGTTTGAGTTCATTTTACTGAACTATTAGTGGCGCCAGAATATATTTATTTAACCAAATATAAGGAAAACTACTTTATGGTTTGCAATGCTTAAGATAATATTTATAGTTACTTGATGCATAAGATTATTTTGATCCTAAAAGCACATTTCATTTCATCATGATTATTTTTTCTTATCTTTCTTATATAATGAAAAAAGTAAACATGCCCATTTTTTAGTGTAAAATATAACAACGATTTGTTACTAGTAAGTATAAAGAAATAAGTGTAAAAAAAATAATCTATTTTTAAAATCTTTCATTTGTCTTTTTCTTATTAATACTATATGAGAAATGCATTTCTGGGTTAAACTTACAATTCCAATACCATTAATTGATTGTGAATGACTAATGTAGTTTCTGTTACAGATACGATTCTTTAACAAACATATAATATTTCCTTAAGTAACTTAGTTACTGCTAACTTAGTTGTTTTTTTAAAGATTAACTCCGTTTAGTTCTTTAAAAATAGTTCGTGAAATGAACTGTGAATACAGTTCCAAAATAAACTGTATTAGTGTAAAAACTTCATTGAATTGGTAACTTTAAACATACTATTTTATTATTGGTAATTATAAACTTATAAACATACTATTTTATTGCTAGTTTATTAGTTCATTTATAAATAAATAAATCGAGTGAATCATAATTAAACTATTTATGTCTTCTACATCTTACCTTAATAGAATTGAATTTATTTTTTTTATATTTCAACAAAAACACGCGTGATTAAATTTATAAAATCTATTTTTAAAAGCGATATTTTTTATTTCATTTTAATTAAATATACGATATTTTTTCAAAAATAAAACATATATATGATGATCCCATATTTTCGTGTATTCATTTCTTCAACATGTTTTCTTAATAGAGTTTTATTGATTTTATATTTTAAGAAAAGCAAGTGAACAAGTTAAAATCTATTCTTAATAAAGACGTTTATAATTTCCTTAGTTAACTAATGACCACCCAAACATGATGTAAACTTCACAATAGACCACACCCCAATGTGGGCTTATTGTAAGCTTTTTCTAAACATTCCGTTAAAAGTCTTGTTTATCACTTGAACGCTAAACAAAAATGCGGTCATGTCACTAGACATTACAAGGTTGACTACCGCCTTGGCCTACCAATAACAACGAGTGAACGAATGGCCTTGAAAGCCTCCAGGCCCACTACGCAAATGGTTCAAAAATATTTTATTATTCTCTTTAGGTTGTTTGAATGTACGTACTAAGTACAAATTATCGAGTAAAAAAATTTTGAGACAAGTTAAATATGTAATTCTAAGAGATATTAAGAACTTAATTGAAACTAAAGACGACTGACTAAAAATTGCATTTGCCACAAGTCATTAATTTTCGAATCCTGGTAATGTTTCAATATGAATATAATCAATCATATGTATATTTATTTTTAAGCTTTACTATCTTAAGAAAGAGAAAAGAATCGGGGATATTTATGAAAATGATACCGAAAATTTAAACTCTTGTATTTTCTGTAACCATGGCGATTAAAAAGCCTTCGTGTTAAATTAAAAATTTCTGTTAGTCTTGAAAATTTATTTTAACAAAAAATAATCAGAATTTTTTTTAAATGCTTACAAAGAAAAAAATTTTGGTATTATTACCGTAATCTATGGTAATTAAACACTCTGGTAAAAAAAAACATATTTTTGGTAATAAAAAACAAAATATACTGTATTTAAGCCAATTATTTGGTAGTTTTTCCGTAGTTATGGTAAAAGTTTACAGGAAAGTCTGTTTTTTGAAATCATAGTTCTAATTACTACATATTAAGCAAAAAATACAAAACTGAAAAGAAAATTTTACCGAATAAATGAACTCTTTGTCATGCTGTTAAAATATTAGAATAAAAGTACCAAATTTTCAACATTTACGAGTTTTTTCACAAATTATTCAGAAGAAGTATTAAATTAATTATTTTGAAATTATAGAATTTTGAAAGACCGGGAATATTTTGATATTTTTACTGACTAATTTTTGAGTAATATATATATTTTTAAAATAATAAGGATACAATAATTGCAGTCTATATAATTTTTCGCTAAATAAGGTTATTAATAAATTTTATTTGAGAGAAATTAGTTCATTATGTATTGTGTTTTTTAAATAACGAAATAAAGAAATGATTATTTCCAAATTGCGATTCCTATGTTGATAGTTCTCGCAGACATAAGATGATGTTTTTGGAAATCTTAATAAGTGGTATTTCAAGTCAATACAAAAAATTAATAAACAACTCATTGATGAACCAGATAATTTATATGGAAATTAGTTACTTAAAAACAATGTGTAAACAATAGTTAAACTATATTATCTGATCTTATATTATGTTATCTGAAATGATAAGCCATATTTAAAAAAAATAGGAAAGTAATTAGAGTTTTTTTTTTTTTTTTTTTTTTTTTTTTTTTTTTTTTTGGTGAAAAACTAAATAATTTTCATGTTTGCAACAAGTTGTTAAAGCAATTAGAGAGCTTTTGGCGAAACACAAGAGTACCTTCATGTGGGCAATAATATGTTCATATTTCTTATGCTGTCATCTAATATAATATGTAGCTTCTAGAACTTCAAATACATAAAACACTATTTTAAGCAATAAACTTTATCACAAAACATTAAAATAATTCTAAAACCTTAAGAAAAACCAATTACAAAAACGCCGATGTTAAGCACAAAAGTATTTAAACTCTAAATTTCAATATATAAACTTAAAAAATGTAACAAAACATCTTACCCCTAAGTGTCTTCCTTCAATAAATATTTGTGGAAGAAGTACTCGTGAAATTCCTAATCTTTCTCTAACTTCTTGTTGAAACCCACGATTCATAAAAACATCTCTTTCTTCAAATTTTACCATCAAAGTCTCTAAAATTTTTCTCACTTTACGACATCTTTCAAAGGTAGTTCGAACAATGCCCATTGATGTAGTATAAAAGACTATACGGCCAATTTCTTCTTGGTCATAATTTCTCTGAAAAATAAGAAAGAAAAATACTCTTTAGACAAACGTGTATAGTATCATATTTATTTATTTAAAATATATCTTCTTTATTTTAAACAAATAACTTGGCTAATTTTAACGTTAGTCATTGGTATAAAATTGTTTTATTAATTTTTTTTGCAAAATCAAACCAAGATTAAAAGAATAAATTAAGATGATTTTGTTAGTAAGTTTCAAGTGGAAAAATTTAAACCAAACTTTATTTGATTTTCTTTACCATAATGGGTGGTGCCATAAATAGCAGGCTAGTGCTATACAAAACTTTACTGATTTCTATATCTAATTTAGCATTATCCCCTTCAATTTATATCCTCTAAAGCTAAATTGATGATCCGAAAAAAAATTAAAGTCGAAAGATACACTGTGATAGTTTCTCAAAATTGAGCAAATATGTTTCAAAATACCTCCGAAACTAATAATTGTCGAATTTGAAATCCCCATGTTTTCAAAATTGAAACAGTATATATTCAATTTTTACCAAAATGCATAGTCTTAAAAGTGAAGTGAGGACTGACTGCTGGCAGGACTCAAACCAAGGACCTCCGAGAACATAGTAGGATGCTCTAACAACCGTAGTTGTACACCCCAGTCTAGGGAGAATTGGGAAGCTTTGTATAGTGGCCGTTGCAATAATACATCATGACATACTAATTGCCCATTTCAATAGTACAAAGGGTTACAATTTAGAAAATATGGTCTCAATAGTTTAATCAAGAGAACGGTAATTTTAATTTCTATTTTTGTTTATGTTGCTATATCCTAACTAAAACTGCTAAGCGAAAATAATGTATATCATGATGTGGCATTGCGGCAGCAACTATATAAAACTTCCTAACACACCTTGGACTGAGATGCACAACTAAGGTGGTTAGAGAATCCTACTGCGTTACTTAGTTTGAATCCTGCCGGTGAACATCTCCCTCACACATTATTTCTCTCTCCACATCACTTTTGAGACCATGTTTTTTACTCAGAAATAAGTGTGTACTGTTTCGGGTTTCTCAAATTCGACTATTATTTGCTTCGGAGCTGTTTTGCTACATTTTTGCACAATTTTGAAAAAAAAAGAAGCATTTTTGCAGTGTATATTTGCCAATGAAAGAACTTCATTAGCTTCAAAAATTTAAGAGGTAAAATTGACATGCTTCCAGTAATCAAACTGGTGGGCTCCTTATCAAGAACCACCAACACGTGTAGGTAGGTCTTGATACATGACATGATACTATACACTAATATAATAAGGTAAAGCTTCAGATTGATGGGAACCAGCTTGCCCGCTGCCAAATGCGGCTCATGAGCAATGCTGATTATGTTTCGAGTAACGCCGTTTGTTTCAATACTGTGGAGCTTTTACTTCCATGACCCACTTGTCGACTAACTTGTTGTTTCGCAAGTGCTTTTCTTTACTATACTCAGATAAATTATTAGTCTAATATAAGTTATCGCTGTTAAAAATATTTTTAACTTCATCTGCATGAGCCGGGATAGCCTGGTTGGTAGGGTGTTGGGCCCAAGTCCAAGAGGTCCTGAGTACGACCCTCACCGGCCGAAGTAGTAAATGGTGACTGGTGCTCGTTAAATCTATAAGATCACAAAGTCCTCCATGTTCTCCTAACAAATTATGCCTCTGGGGGTACTGAAATGGAGATTGATCGTTCTTTGGTTCAGATCAAAATTACGACCTGCGGATAAGAATGGATGTATGGATGGGTTCGCCCTATAAATGGGCAGGACGTGTGTGTGGCTGAAGTCGTATTCTTGGCCATAAATGGAGCCACCGAAAAACAAGAATCGCACCCTCTGCCCTAAATTCGTTTGGTTTTACCAAGCAGGCTTGCTGGTATTGGCAAGTGGCATTAGAAACAACAAGAAATCCATCTGCATAAATTGAAGTAAACACAAAATGAAGGCAACAAATATGTTTCAAACATAATTCATAATGTTTTTTTTTAAACTTATGAGCATAAATACAGAATTGCGGAGGCATCATCAGCAGATCTGTAATAAAGGAAATTTCATTACGTTTGTCCTTGAAAATTTGTAAAGTGTCTTAAAACACCTGTCAAGATCATATCCAGTTTGGTACAATTGGTATGTGCATAGTAATCAAACCCATTACATATTACTTTTGATAACTATATTCTGTTAGTAAATGCAAGAATTATATATTAATATATATTTAAAACAAGTTTATTTTCAATTTCAGATAGCATTAATTAATAATTTAAGGAGAAATAATTAAGTCTAGGGTTCAAAATGTTATTGAAAACTATGAAGCTGCTCAGTTTGTTTAACATATCAATGTATAATTTTTTTTTAATTTGCTCAATTTTGTATCTAAAGTACTTCATTTTGCACGTTTATTGTTTAAAAATAACAATAAAATAACTTATGCAAAACTTAGTTAGAATAAAATTGTTTTTTTAAGTGTTCAACCTCTTTAAGTTTTAAAATAATTGAATCTCATTAAAATGAAGCAATTAAGACAAGCCTTTTTAGTTATTAAACAAATAAAATTATTGTGATAGGTTTTGTATTTTTGTAAATCTATATAAGAGAGCCTAAAACAATATGTTTTTCTTTAAATAAAAATAAAGTTTTTTTTTATTTAGTAGTCACAAAAATAAATACGATACGATTTTTTTCGCGTGAACACGTAGTTATGAAAAAAAAAAAACTAATTTTGACATTATTTTCTTTTCCGAAAATAAATGTCTGTAATACTTCAGATAAGCAAAACAAATATAGAGTGAATTGAACTTGTTAGTAGAAATTCGATTACAAAACACACATAAAAAAAAAATTAAAAGATCAAAAAAATATGAAACTGCTATCTTCAAAAATATTTTCTTTGGGATCATGGTATCATGTTTATTTTTTGCCGGTTCTTTTGATTTTCAACTTAATAAAACGAAATAATTTATCACAGGCGATGTAAAAGAATGGAACATTATATTTTCTGATGAAATTATTGGTAAATATATAAGCGGATACTTGAGATTATTTGTATTTATTTTTTTAATTTGAATTGCACACGTGCCTTTTTTTGTGACAATTTAAGTCAGATACTTAAGATGATTAAATAAATCCATCAGATATATCAATGCTCTTCTTTTTTAAGATCATCATGTCAAATCTTCATGTTTAGATAATTTTAATGAAAAACGAATGCGTTGTAATATTAATTTATAATAAAATGCAGGTTTGTAACATTAAGTACCCTGATAGATATTAAATTTCGACTTTGATAATGGTATTTATGGTACTGAAACGACTGTCTGTATTTGTCAACAACATTATTAGTAGTTTCATTTATTACTTTCTCTTTCTTTGAACTATAAAGTTATCTTAAAAACGTGAAGAAAACGATTTAGTGATTTGTTTATTTTTCACTGTTTACGTGCATTATCAGAAAAATTGTTTTAAGAATGAATTCCAATCATAATAACTTGAACACTTTAAATCATTAATAAGGTATTAAATTGAATAAAGTATTTCTGTAAAAGTTCAATCTCAGTACTCTTTACAAAAAAAGACTCTTTAAACTTTCATTTTATTTTAAATTATTAGTACACTTCAAATTTTTTTGATACTTTAAATTTAAACCACAACCGCTTCAAGAAAAAAAATTCTAGTAAATGTTTCTTTTATTATAATTATTTGATTTTTTTTTAAAAATCATCTTAAAATGTTCAAGAAAGTTGCAGAAAAATGTTAATGAAATTTCTGATTTTCAACGAAATGTTTTATAAAACATCTTTAACATCAGAAAGTTTAAAAAGTTCTGTAAGTTTAAGAAATTAACATCAATAATGATAAAATTCTAAATGTAGGGAACTACCAAGGGTTTAATTTTTTTCCATATAAAAGAGAAGCTTAGGCCATTTTTTTTTTTGTAATTTATCGAGGACGGCGTAAATTAATTCACATTATAGGAAAAATATGCACTCTTTATAATAAATTATAAAAATTATAAAGATAACATTTTTCCTAGTATTGTAAAATAATTTACTCAATATTTATAAAAAGGTTTCACAGTTTGACAAGAAGAGTTTAAAGCATATTTTTCTCTAAAATAAGAATTATAAGTGCTCACATATAAATTGCTGTTCTTTATGTATCTATAGTAACGTCAAGAGCTTTTTTTTTCTTTTTTTCTTCTTTTTCAACAGTATTTAATGATAAAATTTCATACTTAAATACTTCTCCATAATTTGTTGCAAATCAGTATATGTTTTATTTTAAATGCTATATGCTTTATTAAAAAAATTTTAAATTCATCACTGTAAAGAAAGAGTTTCTGAAAATTGAGATTAATGTTTTAAAATAGCTCCGAAACAAATATAGTCGAATTTGAAAAAACCCTTGTACTCCTTAATGAGTATACTGACTTGTTCCATGCAATGTACACTCATTTTTAAAACTGTTCCTAATGTTTCCCGTCACGTGTTCCTAAGTTGGCGTTTGTTTTACTGTGGTAATTAAAATATAAATAAACATATCCAGTCAAAACAACGAATATTGCACAACGAATTATGTACTACCGGGATGAGTCTAACAATTGTAATAAAACAGGCGTATGTTGTAGTATGTCTGGGTAGTAAGTACAATAATAATAAATGTAGGTGTTGTGAAACACAAAGAAGCAAAAAAAAAGTTAGGTGTGGAAAGGAACTGATGAAAATCTTGCAAAGGCGGATTTTTGCAATATTTGACACCTTCTAAACCTGAAAAAGAAGACACTATTTTTCATTATTGTCTATTACGCTTAAGAAGAAGATACTTTTTAAACGAAAACGTGATTCATTTCTTGTAATACGCCTAGAATAAATTCGGTCAAGGATTATCTTGCATTATATGTACAAGTATACTAAGAGAAATAACTAAGATTTTGTTTTAACCATCGAGCTACAGAATTGATGAGAAAGAATGAGAATATAGATAAAAAAAAGTTTTTTTTAAAAAATCTT